GAAATGTGTGTAGTCTATAGCATTAACTTATAAGCTTTTGCTTATCGGTTAATCGGTTAATCAACTACACTATTACATCCCTAGTGTGGAGGTGAAAATAAGCTATAGCACAGGTGACTAACGTGGCTTTTATGTGTCCTTGGTAATGTGGATTCATATGCTCTTTGGGGCAGCTCTTTGGTGTTTGTACAGCACCCAGCACAATAGGGTGCTGGTCCATACCTGGGTCTGCTTAGCACTATTGCAGTGCAAATAATATTGGTCTCTTGAAAGGAGAAACCAGAACTGGGTGATTTTTTTTTGTTTTTGTTTTTGTTTTTTGTTTTTTGTTCAAAACCTATTTTCACCCAAAAATGCAGATTTGGATTGACTGAAACATTTTACAAATTGTTGTGGTTGAAAAAAGCTAAACAAATATTCTAAAAAGGTCTCAAAACATTTGAAACAAAATGTTTCAATTCAAAATGTCTTTGCTTTGAAATTTCCATCAATTTCACTGTTAAAAACTATTTTTAAAAAAATCCTCAAAATTTAAAGTTCCATTTTAGTTCATATAAAACATTTCATTTTACCCGAAATGAACTCTCCTCCCCTCCACAATTTTATGGTTTGCAAAAAAAAAAAAAAAAAAAGTCCTGTAAGTTTCTTTCAGGTCAGCTTGAAGCTATTTTTTTAAATTGACAGTGAACTAAAAAGTCAGATATTTAGCAGTTCTAGAGAAACAATATATACAATTTAATCTTTTCTTAGTCAGTTTTTAACCAAGGCCACCTGTCCCATTAGCTGGAAAACACTGCTGTGTGGTTAGCAATGCTGTGACACTGCTCCTTCAGTAGAAGTACTGTAGCAGACTGAAATCATGCTATCAATGCTGTTATTGTATTTGACTGTAGGTCTGCAAAGAATAACAGGGACAGAGACAGCTTTTTTAAAACAAATCTGGGGTTCTTAAGTTAAAAAAATAGCTGTTTAATATAGCTTTCCAAGAGTAAGTTTTGTACCATGACTAAATTTGCCCACTTTTAAGAAAGTCATAAACATGTTTCTGTTCCAAACTCAGTGTTTCCTTTATTTATTAATGCAATTTTAACTCCTCTCCCATCTCCCTTCAAAGACCCCAGCTGTTGACACTCATGATTGTTGACCTGAATTTATGGGCTAGTTTTTATTACCTCTTCCCAATGATCTGACAGAAGATACTTAGATTTTTGTGCCAATTTAGACTACAGGATTAGAGAACTCAGAGAGGTCAATGTCATGAGCAGACTCATGGGGTGTGTGGCAGGGATACATATTGAGGACAATACAAAATTTCAAGATCTTTACTAAAATGAATAAAAGAATAATAAATGATAGAAAACACACAGTCACAAAGAACTAATACAATTCCATGGTTGTAACATTTTTATTCTAAAAGTCTATTTAAACTAACATACTCATACTCTTCCCTAGAGTCCTGGTGTGGGAGACAGAGGCCCAGCCTCATCTTTGGTATGCCCAATGAATTTGATGGTTCAGGCTCCCCAGCTTGGTAGACATCGTGCACAAATGCCGAGTAACTAAACTATTCTGCCAAAGCTGAGCTGATAGCTTATAGCTTAATGCAGCGGTTCTCAAACTTTTTGGGCTCCGGAGCCCTTTACGTGCGTAAAAATTTATGCGGAGCCCCAGCGGTCCACTGATTGTATGTGTTGTACCTATCGATGTTTCCAGCTTGTCAACCTCGTGGAGCCCCTGGAGATGTCTCACGGAGCCCCAGGGCTCCGCGGAACACAGTTTGAGAAACACTGGCTTAACAGAAGATAGAAGACAGAAACCCTCTGCATAGCTGTTTGACCTTTTACAGGGTCCTGGCACTACCCTGAATACTCGTAACAGGTCCCAAGCAGTCAAAAACCAAAACTACCCCACTTTGCAAGCAGTAAAAGAAGTAACAACAACAACCCCACACGTATGTGTTGGGTCGGGAGATGAGAGTGAAGGACTGTGTGTGTGTGTGTGTGTGTGTGTGTGTGTGTGTGTGAATGCCAGACATACACAGGGTATGTCTACACTACAAAGTTAATTCAAACTAACAGACGTTAGTTCGCATTAACTTTGATAGGCGCTACACATACAAACCACTAGTTCGAACTTAATTTGAACTAGCGGAGCACTTAATTCGAACTAGGTAAACCTCATTCTACGAGGACTAACGCCTAGTTCGAATTAAGCAGTTTGAATTAAGGGCTGTGTAGCCACTTAATTCGAACTAGTGGGAGGCTAGCCCTCCCCAGCTTTCCCTGGTGGCCACTCTGGGCACCACCAGGGAAACTCGTCTGCCCCCCTTCCGGCCCCGGAGCCCTTAAAGGGGCACGGGCTGACTACGGTGCCCGTGCCAGGTGCAAGCCTGCTAGCAC